CCTGTGTTTTAGATCTTCTAGATCCAAAAGAAGACTAGAAGATCTGGACGAAGTGGATGATTTACGTCTGATGTCTACCACACTAGAAGACCTACAGGCAAAAAGCAACGAGTTAGTAGAGAGGCTGGCAGCGAAGACAGGACGTGAAGTAAACATACAAAAGACGGAGGTGATGCGAACGAACAAACAACCAACAACAAACACCAGTAAGTATCCACGGGAAAAATTTGAAAGAGGTCACTTCCTTCACTTATCTGGCCAGGAGGCATCGTTTCAACAACACACGACAACATGTATAACGCTGTCAAAACCAGAATCGCAGAGGCTAAACACCCCTTCAGCACTCTGTGATCAGTTTGGAAACTGTCTGCACACAGTCAGCATAAAGAAAACGATTCAAAATTACAATATCAATGTTAAGTCAGTTCTTCTAGATGACTCAGAAACTTGACTTTAGTTTCACGAAAAGCATTTCCAATATCCTTCTGGTCTGCACCAACAACTACGATCCCCTCATATTGAAGATGAGATCACCAGAAAGACAGAATTAGTGACAGAGAACTCTGGGAACAAATCAACCAACAACCTACTGCTCAACGAATATCCCCTCTCGGACAAAACTCGAGTCAAACAACCTAGCTCCACAAGAGCAGGTAAGTTGATGAATGCACATACGGTTGGCCAACAGCCCGATCTTCTTGTTCGGGTTATTGAACAGTAATGGTTGACTGGTAAAGGCTATTCTAAATGATGCATCAGGGAATTTTCTTTTCAGGGACTGTGATATCCTTCTTTTCATAGTATCAGAAGCTAAGACACCTTTGAATTCCAAGTTCATGTACAGTATTCTCTTTGGCACGGTTGGTAAATCACATTTTATAGCGTTTGACTGTATATCCTTGTGAATAAAACGTGGTGTAAATCCATTTTCTGTTAAGATTTTTCTCATCCTCCACAGTATCAAGGCCACATATGCACCGAAAGCGATTGGCAAGCGACCGAATCAGGTTTATTTTTCATCCAATGGCTACCCAGCTGCAGAAATTTATCAGTTGACTGTTCCATGATAGCTCTCTATAAATCGACGTCTTCAGAGTTCCATCGGTCCCCCTTGATAATTTCACATTGAAGAAATGGATACTAGACTCGTTAAATTCTATGTTATCGAATTTCACAGTCTTATGTAACGTTTTCGTTTTATTCTTTTTTGTCTGTTGAAATGCTACACGTCATTTGAATGAGGATGAATGTTGTCCCTCACAATGATACTTTTATGCAAGAATGAAGAGTCGTGTGTATAGAAAAACATACCTCTTGGATTCGATCGATTATTACTACTGATGAATAGATAATATCAATTCTGAGTAAATTTGACGGTAGAATATGCCTCTTGAGATAGATATACAATAGAATAATAATAAGACGGTTGCAGCGAAGAAAATTTTCTTGTCCACAAAGTCATTAACTAGGCTGCACATCCGTGTATATGTATTTCCAGTTAAAGGTCAAATTAATAAAATTACACAGTGTAATAAATACGAAGATCGGATACAGAATATGGTAAGGTAGACAGGTTTCACTATTATCCTAGAAACCTTTCCGGTCAAGGGTCAGATTAATGTAATTGCAATCAGGAAATAAAATGCCATAATAAACAGGGGGGCGAAAAAAATACTCAAACAAAGTAGCATCATAATTACTGAGAAGATTGACATATTGTGCAATTGGGGGTTAGAAATGTAGGAATACCGAAATAGACAGGATGGTTGGATAAAAAATCTAGTGGGATCATAACTAATGTGACGAATAATTGTCTAGGCAGTTGGAGATTAAATATGTAGAAATAATAAAATGACAAAATAGACAGGAAGTTCAGATATGAAAGTATGGTAGTGTAAATAGGGATTAAGAAAAACTTAGAAATAACGTGAATAAGAAGAAAGTTTGGGTGAGAAAGGCAATGGGATAGTCACTATTAGGAGAAAATTACCTCGAAACATCGAATCGGGCGTCCGAGGGTGACATGGAAGAGATCGTGTTAAGAGGAGATGAGAGCCTATCGGTAACTGTGGAGCCAGCTGAAAAGGACTTAATAAAACAGGGTGGAATGGAGGTGTGTGCTGTTGTAACACTATGTCACACTCGGAACCAAAGGGAGTAATAATAATAATAATATAATAATAATAGCCGTTACGTATGATTTAGAAGGAGATATTGAATATTTAGTGACATTTGATCCCTGTTAATTGCCTATGACAAGAATAGTCAAATCTTCACCCAGGTTATGCAGAAGACTTAAAATAACTTCACCAATGTCTTCTTCCACGAAGACTATAATATCTACGTGAGCTTTCATCTGTGTAGCCTATTCACGCTTACTTACTTCTCCAGAATATAGCTAGCTAACCAACGAATGACTATAGGATCGATAGTCTTAAAATATATAAACTGGTAGTCGACTTACTCTCTGAATGGTTAGGGCGACACCTATTGATCATCCGTGCAGAAAGATCAACAAGTTAGGTAAGGCAATATTCTTGTACTCTTCGGTAAAGTCGTATTTAATTAAGTATCTGAGGTGAGGTCTTCAGCGTTAAGCAACTACAAGAAAGGCAGAAATCTGAAAGAATGTTTATCACATTTTGTTTTCTGTTTTCGGTTATTTAATGGACGGACAACACAATGAACGTGTCAAATATCAATTGGTAGAAATTTTTTTTAAATTACTCCTTAAAGAGATTGGAAATATACACAGAACATCATTCATCTACAACTTAAATTACAGGGAGTACTGAACAACTCTTTCGTCCTTTCAGATTGCTAGGCGCTTGAGCGGTATGCAACTTCCGGGATATGAACCAAACACCGAGTAACACGGAAAGCTCATACACTCACTATTCAGCCTCTGGAACTCAATTCAATAGTCAGTCCATGAATTCAAACTACTAGTAATTCATGATTTCAACGCAACCACCAGTCAGTGTGTCATCGGTGAGTATTTCTCCTCACGTCCACCCGACCCGGTGGCGGGTGTGTTGTAGGGAAAATAATAATGATAATAACTATTATTATTATTATTATGGTATACTAGAGGGAACAGAAATAAACATAATCAAGTGTTGAAAACAATAAACATTAATGCATCATAACAAATATTATTGTAATGTAAATAGGTCTGATTGTTGTGATCTAATTTTCGTACATCACATGACAGTGTTATTCGTTCTACGCTGATATGAAGTGTTATGCTGGTAAGTTAGTGTTATTTGTAAGACAAAGAAGCATCGATAGACTGCTCCGTAGTGGTAGTGGTAGTAGTAATAGTAGTAATATGAGGGTAAATATATAAATGAAATTCTCAGAAAAGTGATAGAAAGCGTTCACAATAATTTTGAAAGGAAGAATTTCTCCTTTCTGATACGTATACTAATATAATACATATGTATAACGATGATTAAAAACACCAGAATACCACAAAGTGGAGGGGGTATGGTAAGCCAACAGCAGAATTAAGCATTCCTTACAGTGAGACAACATAAAAATCCCTATTGAGCTAGCTATATAAAAGAAAAGACAATCAATCAGCGAAGAGTTACTTACTCTTACTTTCAAAGACATCATTGTACCAGTCAGTAACCAGTGTCATGTGTCTAGTCACTTGTTTGGTGTAGACTGAATTCTATCAGTCAAGTCTTACAATATGGCCAACTCATGTCACTTATAGGTACAACATTTTCTTTCTTTCTTTTCCTTTTCTCTCTTTGCTGTTGTAATGTGCTGTTTTGTTTCTCACTTCCTTACAAACTCTACTGAAAACATCCTTTTTGTCCCCTCACACTCTGCATATCTCGACCTTTTGTTGCCGCTTACGCCAGTAAATATGCTAGCATCTACCTTTTCTAATACCTTCAAACACACTGTTCAATTTTGGCTTTGCTACCGACAAGCTAATATGTTGTTGTCAAAACGAACTGAGATTACCCATAATCTATGTAGAATTTTATTTATTGTTAATGTACTAACTGGATGCAATACTGTAGTGAAATGCTGAGAATTCCATTCTGTATCACAAGAACTGTTTTGGAATAAAGCAAATTATTATTATTATTGTTATTATGCCATTAGGTGGACATTTAATAACACCAATTCTGAGTGTAAAGTGATGGCGAGCCAATTAACGTGGTGGCCAGATTGCAAACATGACTGATAGAATACACAGTCTACACAAAACAAAGGACTGGACACATTACTCTGGTTACTAACTAGTGTCCAATAAAAGATAAGTTAATACACTCAGTCCTACAGGAGGTCAATCGCCAGGCAGGACACCACTCAGTGGTAACATCTCTGTGACTACAGGTTCAAATCTCAAAGGCGACATGAGAGTTCCTTCAAGGTTGTAGGTATAGCTACGCGCCTTGGTGACTGTTGAGTGTCAACTAGCACGAAAACTAGATCAGACTAGGTGTTTCCTACCGACTGCCTTCAACTATCTGAGATTAGCGTTGGGGGAAACAGCAGGCGGGTGCTCACCGAGACACTCCTTTACCTTACTAAGCCAGTAATAGGACTAGGAAAGAGGGAAGGCTGGGCTAATGTGAGGCTAGCAACCCCATCCCGTATAAAATAAATCCCACTGCTACCAAAACTTCAAGCCTCTAGCTTGAAACCTTATATACCACTGGGAGTGTAAAGGAATAAAATAAATCTGAATTCAAGAGTAACTCTTCACTGAACCTCCTTTTTTTATTCTTATGTCAGGATGAAAACAGATACAATGAAACCGATTGAAAAAAGCATAAAGCAATCAGACAGTTGATGCTTATATATATATATATATATGACTTACATTCACGTGCAAGATCCACTAAATGATGAACTACTTCTGGAGGAGTACCATTGAATACATTGACATTAGATTTCCTAGCACTTTCCAAATCCATACAACCTGCTGTACAGTTCACAGTACCTGGAGGACATCGACCAGCACCTACTGCATCCAGAGTATACAAAGCTAAATCTCTTAAAAAAGGAAAGAAATATATTGTAAGGATTATGCATATAGTGAACTGAAAATAAAACATCTACACTGTAAGGAAACGAATATACTTAAATAAAAAGAAGAGTAGATCACCACGATTTACGTTATCACATTTATTAACGTGAACCAATTAGACAGACACATAAAGGGGTTATCACCGAAAATCATTAAAGATAGTTCACATTACAAGCTGAAATTAGTTAAGAATTTCGGTAGGAGAGTGATGGCATCGACGAATTTCGATTTCTGTCAGCAACGCAGACACAACATACGATAATGTAGAGAACTCAGTGTAGGATTTCACGTAAAAAACAGATACTCTAGTCAATGAGAGTGTAAAGATTAATCGATAGCGAGTAGATGTGGTTGTTATCAAACACATTATGTAAGCAGAGAAGAAGGATTTATTCGAACTTAACTATGGATGGACGACAGAGTGCTATGAATCAATAAAGTTCATAATGCCATTGTTAGAAATCGCATTTGATACGGGTCATGATGAGGTGAACATCTACATCTACATATCCTCTGAAATTGTCAATAAACAAAACAGTGTGATTCTCTTCAACTTTGCCGAAGCCATCGCAGTTAAACGCCTGAAACTAGAATTATGTACTCAGAAGAAAAGCAGTTAGTTATTAACCCTTTCTTACCCTGATAATTGAGTGTTTTGATGCTTTCTTTGGCTTAAACCCCTCTCCCCTTTCGCTATAGCCATAACTTTTCTTGTCACTTGTTTGTATGATTTAGGTTGAGTTGAACTCACCCCACATTGTTACTCAACTTATTAATAAGTTATCATCTTAGTCACCTCTTGTCCTTATTATGTAACTTCTTAGTCATTGTATCCAAGCGTTTATTTTTATAAAAGAAAAAAAACTGAATGGTCTGCGAGTTAGCTTGCCTTGTAACCGGAAGGTACTGGGTTCGAACTCGTGTGGTGGGCGCGTACTGCCAATGATCCTAAACTAGGCCGACGAAACAGCTGTCCAGTACTCCAGCAGTAGTTTTCAATGGCTCTCTCTCACTGATATCAGTCCGTGCGTGGTCAAAGTCGTATAAACAAATCTAATCCTAAAAGAAAACTAGACTCTTGAAAAGACAAGACATTCAACGAAGAGTTAGTCTTTTCGGCGGCATCATTCTCAAGCTGTACAATCGCATACATATAGTTAATTATCTTAGCAACAAACTGGATATTTCAAATATTTGTCACTAGAGTTGTAAATTTCAGTTAACAAATTACGTGACTAAATTAATAATTCCCATTGAGACATAAAAACAAAGAATCCAGCGGAGAAAATTATCTTTTCAACGATTTCATTTTCATCACTTTACAATCATATATATATGAATAACTAACGGGGTAAATACAGGTCAGTCGCAAGTTTAAAAGATAAGTGTGGAATAGTAGATCCAAAAAACAATGTATATCTGTCTATATGAAAGCGTCACCATAATATATGACGATGTACACATATAGCCTGTGTGTGCAGTGTCACCAAAGGGGTGGACTAGATAGAATGCTAGAAAAAGAAGAAATAAAATAAAAAGATATACAACAAAAATGCAGAATAGAATACAGAAGCAAACAAAAACGTTGAGAAGCAAAGGAAATGGGAAAGTCAAGATCATGGTAACGAAAGAGATTATACAAATGTTTTTGTATACAATAAAGTTAGGCTTTGGGAAGTCTTCCTGAACGTGGCAACGAACGTCTTATGCACCTAACTCCACAAGTGCAGGTGAACAAATGAATACGCATGGAATTAGACAAACGAGGTAACATTACCTTGACTCTAGTTTGACCTCTATCTATTTAGTTATTCATTCATATATCCAATCAGTGGTGACTCATAATTCTATAGACCAATATTATTACAGTTTAGTAATTCCACTCACTGTCACACTTTAACACACACACACACACAAAGAAATTATGTATTGCAGAAAGTGTTAATTGGACAAAAGGTAAAAATCTGTTCGCTAATTGGTTAACAAGTAAAGTAAGATTAAATAAGCAAGTTGACTGACGTAATCTATTTGACGGGGTTGAGTAGAGTTCAGCTAAAATTAAAGTTGAACAAAAGTCAAGTAAACAACAGTGATGGTAATAAGGGGGGGTAGAGATTTAATGAGGGTTGGAGGAAGAAAATATTATACAATTAAGAAATAAACAAGCAAAAAAGAGACTAAACAAAAAAACAAATTACGTATTTGGTGTTAAGATAGGTCGGTCAGGTTCACTGTAGATTTAATGACTGAACAAACTTCCGCTTTTGTATGCAGAGTTCACGTTTTCACATGTGAGGAATTGCCATTGCTTCTGAGGCTTGAAGAAGTATGATTCGTACTCTTTTAGCAAGATATTCACGTATTCTATGGATGACTTCAAAGTTACTTTGTGGGTTTCCTTGGTGCTGCGATTTGATCAAGTCTTCCAGGATACAGCTTCCGGGGAAACATTTTTCTCTTTTTTGAAACCATAAGTGATCGATGATACGTTTGGATGGCAAACGCTGGCTACGGCTAACATACCCAGCTCTACAGGGACCGACAACAAACTCCACCTTTCTTGCTGTCTGATTCCAAGGGAAGTGGGATTACTAGACGATGGGTTGTAATATAGCGGAAATCAGTGTTCAAAGGTTATATACCTGATAAAAGATTGTAGTCGTGTAAATAACTTTTAGACTATGTTCTCAACTGCAGTATCACAACTTTAAAATCCTACTTTCATTGACATTTTATGACTTGATTATCATTATCATTCAACCTAGTGTTTCTTGTATGCAGTGGAGGACAGCATGCCGTCGCTCATAGTGTACTTGGTTTGTGTTTTCAAATAATATAGGCATACATATATCATTTTCCCTATGACAGACTTTACTTTTTATACTTTTGTTGTGTTTTGAAGTTTTTGCAGCGAATTTCGGATTGATTTCTCGGGATAGGATCGCTAGCCACACCCACACACACACACACACTCAACCTTCCCTCTCTCCTCAAGCTTAGCACCGGCTAAAAAACCCTGGGAACGAACGAGCCGACCAACAGCTCAACAACTATGCAGAAGAAAATGGAGATGGGTGGGACAGATGTTGAGAAGACTACTGCATGGTATAACATACCAGGCCACTTCCCAAGTGGAACCCGAATGAAAAACGACGAGTTGGGTGTGCGTCCGAGGGTGATATAGAGGAGATAATGTGAGCAGGAGGCGAGAGCCTACGGGCAATCGTAGAGTCCGCTGAAGAATACTGCAGAGAATACGACAACAAAATGAAGAGAGACGTTCTGTTGAAGCCGTATGATCGATTTGGAACCCAAAGGAATAGTAAATAATAATAATAATAACAATATATGACAGACTTGGTTGGAATTTGGAGAATTCAGATATTGAAGTGCATGAAATCACCTGTCTGAAAAGCCATAATAATGAGTTATTATGAACTATTAGATGCACTAATGGCTTATGAAATTGATTAGTAAAGTGATTTTTAGACCATGAAATTGTACTATTACACGATAGCTGTTAAGTTAATTGACTGACTGGTTTCAACGTAGAACATTTCACAGATGTGCAGTAGTTCGAGTTGCCCCACACTCCCTTCACATACCAAACAAAGCAAATAACATCAGAGGGTAAAGAGAAATTCAAATCAGAGACGTATAATCAACACGAATGTGAGGCAGACGAATAGTTATATGGAGGAACAATAGAATTTTATTGGATATGGTAAATTACAAGGACTGCATGCATCTGCGCCAGACATCACCAAAAACTACCACTTTGAGCCATGCTCTTCATGACGCGCAGCGCAAGTCTCTAATCCGTATGAAGTTGAAAATCTGGATCTTATTTTTCATGCATAATGCTGCTGACATCCACACAGACTTTAGAGAAATGAAAGCTTCCCTTACTTTCCCGATCTTTGCTTCGATATCCTCATCAGTCCTGTCCGCCTGTAGTTGAAACGATGCTTCCCAGGTAGACAGCTAGGTAGGTAGGTAGGTAGGTAAAGGAGGTTGCTTCTTTCAAATTTCTCCAATTTATGCTGGTTGATTGCTGTTTGTTGTTAGTGGCCAGGAATCTTCATCACCCACCTCTGTTTTCTCTATGTCCACTTCACGGTCTATCTTTGATACGCCAAAAATATTTGGAAGTAATCGGGAAAAATACGGAGTTACACAGCAAAACTCATCTGACGACTGAGATTCACGTTGAAGAAGCTTAATTACAACCTGAATATTTTAACTTTGTTATTGATTCATTATCTAAAAACATTCTTGAAATACTCCATTCAAAACTTGTACTGGAGTAATTAAGGCAACGATTAATATGTGTTTTTCAGTCGTGTGTATGTGTGTGAGGGACAGAGAGAGACTGTTTTGTTCCGTCTTTAAAACACTAACACACTGGCATACCAACCCTACACAATGAAGAAAAAAACAACAAACAAACAATACTGAACTGCGTTTTTGGTATTTCACACTCAACTTCTTTTTTAAAATAAAATATATCAGGTTGATTGATTGCATAAAACAACGACTACACAGACAACAAACATCTGGTTGGCAAACAAAATGATAGTCGGTGCATAATCTTTAATTACATATAATAAAGTCAATGTAGACCGAATGTATATTGGCAAATGGTCTTCCTCTAACGGCCTCAAAATAAATTCTTCCAAATATCAGACTGTTAATTTCAGTTTCCGATGTAAGCGAAAGTTAAATGAAGCTGTTGGTTCTTATGACCTTGCAAAATTGATGATACTGTTATAAAAATCAAGTTTGAAGTTAAGTATCTTGGATTAATTCTTCCTTTTGACCTATCCTGGTCTTCACATGTCTTATCGATTTCGTAGTCTAACTGTTTACATTAAGAAGTTAAGGCACTCAGGCATAACCCAACCACTCCTCTTGCACTTTGTCAACTCGTGAATCTTACCTATTCTTCTTTACTGTTCACCCCTGCTTATTCTTTCTTGGATTGCTTAAAAAGACTATGTCATACCTCGTAGAACTCTGAAGACTGTCAGTCAGTAGGGCGAGTGGTGGTATCCCATTGGGCCACATCGTTGACATTGTCACTGAAAGGCACTTGATGTCATGTAAAAAATTTGCTACAAGAATTTTGTCAGACTGTGAGTATCCACTGTAGCACTCGCAACTCCAACCTTGTGTCTCCTCAGGTGAAACGAGAAGTCTTTTTAGAAAAACTTAGGCACGTACATCTAAGTATAAAAATTCCACTATACCATATTTAGCACGTACTTTATGGGATGAGAATAGTGTCAGACATGAATTACCTAACCTTCTTGCACTACTAAATAAACCATTTCTTCCACCCTTACACCATCAAACTTATTATTATTGTATTTCTTATATTTACAATACTCTCAATTTTTTGTCTACTTTTTTTCATAAGTGTGAACATAATTTAGGCTGTGTTATAACTGTTAATCTTGTATTTCCCCTCACCATACTATATCAACAGAACATCAGGTCCAATAATCTATAACATGCTAACATTTCCAAACTGAATTATACATTATATTATATTATATTTTGAGTAATTCAGATGCAATATTGTGACAAATGCTGAGAATCCCGTTCTGTAATACAAGTAATGTTTTTGGAATAAAGTAGACTATTATTATTATTAGCACATCCATTTAAATTACCGAAAATCGGCAGTAGGACTAGTTAAGTAAGTTATAAGTGGAGCATCAGGGAAGAAAGAAGCGTCAGTCATTTTTCTGTACCACTTTCAATCATTAATTCATCTCGAAAGACGACTTCATCTTGTAGTCTCAGATACACTTCACCGAACATTTTCAAGCTTTGTCAATTATAGTTCTGCGATGCTTTAAAGCAGTGCACACAAATATATTATTCCCATAGAAAGTGATTGACTGCATCAACAACTTACTTAAATAAAACACTCAGTCTGGCTTTAAGATTACTTATATAGGCTGGCATAGTGAATTCAACGTGTTCAGCTTGAATTTTATTTCCATACACAATGTGGTACGCATATCTACATGGTGTAGCACACTGAGTCACTTTAGTTTGGAATCTTTGAAACTTTTTTTCAGGATGGGGGAGAGGCGGAACTCTTGTTGTTTTCCACTATCATCTTAAATGGAACGTAGACATTTATTCTCAACCTACAACCAACGTTACAAGGGCCATCTGAAATCTAAATCCAGGTGAGGCATCAGCGCATCTGATAGTATGACAACATAGGGGTTAAAGAATGGTGATGATGAATTATTGGCTATTTATCATTTGACAGTGCATCGGCGGCACATCGGTAGAATGCTCACCGACCATACCTCATGTCGTCCGGGGTTTGTTTCCCGGCCACTGGCGCACTCCTCTACCTAGCTAAACCAACAATAAGACTAGTTAAGAGGGAAGGTTGGGCTGGGCGTGAGGCTGGCAACCCCATCCCGTAAAAATAATCACCACTGCTACAGGAATTTCAAGTCTCTTAATTTGAAGCCCAATGTTCCACTGGGGACGTAAAGGGAATAAAAGAAATTAGTTGAGAACTCAACACAGATCTAAGACACTGATGTAGATTACTGATAATTATCAGTTTACACCAAAAAGAACAAATTTTCTCGTAATAATCACCAAGGATTGTAGCATCATGCATATACAAATGACAGGTAGACTTAGTGTGTTTTTCCTCTCACACATTTATCACGGCTTATTAATATGCACTGTATCTTAAATTAGGCATACTTATTGGTTATGTATAAACCCTAAAACGCAATTGTTTACCTTTGTCATTACCACAAGGAGTCAGAAGCCATTGTTTAGCGTATTTGATATTTTTCGTTAGTAGATTTTGTCATACCACCGTGTGAGGTATCATAAGAGGGGAGAAAGGTAGTTGGAAACTATTGGTGATATGACTCAAAATCGTTCTCAATGGCTGGTGCAGATGCATCTACTCCTTGTGACTTATGATTTCCAATGAAACTATATTGTTCTTCGTTAGTACTATTCCTTTGTCTCACACCTCTGTTTACTGTCTCTATTATGCATTTCTTCTACTTTCTTCTCTTGATTTGTGTGCTACATGAAGGGAGTGTGGCGACTTGAACTGCTGCATATCGGTGCAAAGTTCTATGTCGAAAACAGACAGACAGAATAATCATCAAGGGAATAGGTTGACTAACACAATATTTAAAATTCTATAGTTCATAGAAACCCGTGGAAAGTAAGGCTGCTTTAGGATCTGATAAGAGTGTATTTTTGATCCTATCTCCATTCTTTGATAGCATCTGGAACACTCATACCCTTACCAGTGACCGAAATTTGTAATTTTCCTTAATTGGAAGGTGGCACTTGACTCCATCAATCGAGAAATGAGGTAAAAAATGTTTGGCTGTAAAGGAAGTATCGAAAGTATTTATTACGTGACGATTGAATTCCTTTAGTTGTGGTAAATCTTATGCACAGTTGCTGTCTGAAGTTACAATAACTACTGGTGTTCACATCAGAGATAACCTCTGAGCATCTTGTCGACTATTTGCATCAATATTTAAGCGGCAGTTTGCTGGTATTTGAATGATTTCATGTTAGATGATGAACTGAAGTCGTTTAGGGGACCACTGAAAACCAGGGAGTACTGGACAGCGGAGTATGCACCCATGACCCTTGCATATCTTCCATTTTGTGGGAAATCAGAAATATATCATCGGCGAAGTCCAGATCCTCCTAGTTCTACTTTTGTGTGAGTCCATTTTATGCCTGTTCCCTCGTTGGTTGCCGTTGTCTGTCGCATTATTCAATCTACCCCAATCACGAAAATCCCGTCTTTACTACGAAGGATTCCGTAAGTTTCCCGTTGTAGATTACTTGGTACGCTGCACTGTCGTAAAACTGTTGGATGAGATGTATAATTGTCGGCGGCACCACGTAGTAGCAAAGTAGTTTCCAAATCACCGCTCGGACGACGCTGTCGTAGACCTTTGAAACGATGCTGACTGAAAATGATAGAAGTGAACTCCTTCAAAATTCTCCCTCCCCATAGCTCGTTATTGTTGTTGGTCACAGGGTACCTATCCTTCATCTCTTCCTTCACAGCCAACCTTTTCTATCAACCTGTCGGTTTTCACGTGCAATTCTTCTTCAAGAAGTCGACATACCTTCCAAATGACCTAGTCCACCACCATCATCATGATTGATAATAGATAGACAGCCTTGTCTTACTCCTGTCTTCACTTTAAACGCTTCTCTGAGTTTTCGCTTGTGAATGCAAGTGATAATTTGAGTAAGGAGTTGTATCGCATTAGGTATAAACAAACTTCGTGGGCGAGGGGTAATACCTTCTCTACCTTCCGTACAGTGGAACAACAATACAAATAAAGACTTGAATAAAAATTAACAACTACTATCCCCTTTACATTCCCAGTGGAACATAGCGGGGGCGTCAAGCTAAGAGGCTTGAAGTTTCCGTAGCAGTGGTGATTATTTCTGGTTTACAGGATGGAGTTGCTAGCCTCACGCCCAGCCCAATCTTCCCTCTTTACCAGTCTTACTACTGACTTATCGAGGTAAAGGGAAGTGCGTCAGTGGCCAGGGATCGAACCTCCGATCACATGAGGTGTGTGGTCCGCAAGCACTCTACCACTGTGCGACAACTATACTACTGCCACAAAAAAAGAAGAGGAAAGCCATCACTTGAATCCATCAGAATATCACTACAATGTTATCAATAAAAAAAATATCAAAGACAGAAAAACGATACAGTGTTTATACAGAAAAGAAATTTATGCAACTTCTGTTACTAGTGATTGATGTCATCCATCAAAATTACTGTAAAGTTGACTGAGTACATATATGTAGGTATATCCACGCAAAGCTGTTATCGTGTTAAAACAAGAAACGCCATAAAGCAAGATAAAACAGAGCAGACAGCAATGTACCCAACAATAATAACAACAAATAACAAGAAAAGATAATCCAGCTAGCTTACCGTTCATCTGAATGTATATATCTGAAAGTTGAACAGCAATAGACAAAACAGAAAATATAAGAAAAACAAGAAAATAATTTATCTCATCTGGATACTTTTTTTAATTTAAAAAAATATATTACGAAAATATTCTGTTTTAGACTTAGTTGATTGGTTGGTTGACAAGCCTTGAGTATTGTTTAACCTTGATATAACTTACCCGCAGGTCGGTAACCAATTTAATCTTTATATTTTTGCAATTACATAAATGACGGTTTGATCACTTGAAGATATTTACACCTTGGCTTCAGTGTCTTGTATCCCGTTGTTATGCAAAGGATTACAGTTCGACAGCATCAACATAACATTACACGCTGAATATCAGAAAAATTAGGAGAGATAATAATATACATTCATGAACTTATAGTGTCACTGAAGACCGGTCAAGGCTGTAGCAGTTAGTGGCCGACTGGCTGGCTAGCTGGACTTGCTTCTTCTGCGCACTGTGAGGACTGGTTTTTCCAGGCGAATCGCGACAGCCTCTATTGTTTCGAGTATGTGGTACCTATATATTTTTGGTAATTAGTTTGGTACCCGATAGATGATAATGTTGGAGGACTTTTCAATTCTGGCTGTCATTGTGACTGGTTTGCACCAGATGGTTTAATATCGAAGTGTTGATGAATTTTACTGCACCTTTACTTAGGTATATTGGGAGATATTCTCGAGTACGAAAAATCAAGTTCCTAGAGCAACGGCCGATATAACTTACCCCACCACAAGCGCAGTTGAATTGGTAGATACATTTGAAGTGGCCAGCTAGTCTAGGTACTTCATCTTTCAGTAGAGTAATCACCATCGGACTTGTAGAGAATAAAACGCGTAATTCGCCAGCATTAAAAGATCTTTGAACTGATTTTCTTAATTTCTTCGTAATCATTTCACTTGGTGTATCCCCCTTGAATTGCAGTCGTATGTATAAATGCTTCTTGTTTACAAATAGTGAGTAGTCTTTTTCCGCTTTCCTTGTCATGTGTTTCTCCATGATTTTGTCAGGATAGCTATTTTCGATCAAAGTATCATATACAATGCTTACTTCATCTTCAGTTACTTCTTCTGAGCATATAGCTCTAACTCTGTGGCTGAGGGTCTTAACTAAATTTCTTCCGTACTTTAGAGGAAAGAAGCTGTGAGATTGTGTATATTGTCTGTCCATGTGCTTTTCCTAAGCTAATTTCTCTTTATACTTCCATCTGACTTTCTTGTAAAGAGGACATCTAGGAAGGCAATTCTATTTTGGGATTCCTCTTCACACGTGAATTTCATAGCCGAATGCGCTTCATTGAATTATGAACAACATTGATGGTGTTGTTCATAACACTAATTCATTCATTCACTCACTATTATGGATGGAGCCTGATGAAGAGCAGGTTATCGAAAAGAGTACTCTTTGTTCAGTATCCATTCCTTAATAATTATTTATTTATTTATTTATTAGTCAGGGAAACAATCACACAGACTTCAATACAGTGACAGATGGCTGCTACTGAGCCTATGTTGCAGCAGAGTTTGTTGACATGATTTTACTTTGAATATCACTATTGAAATTATATTATTAACTATCTGTCAGCCGGGTTCTTGAATACACGCTTACATATCATCGAATATCTCTTCCGAATGCCTACGTGAAGCCATGGAATTGACTAGTCAGCTGCTGACCGTTCATCAATGTTAACAGGTATCCGTCTGAACATTAGTAGTTGGTCACAGCACTAACTAACAGAAGTTGGAATTCATGAACCATTGATCAGGTCCCAGTGGCTTAATGGTCTACGAGCTCGCTAGCCTTGTAACCCGAAGGTCCTGGTTTCGAACCCCGGTGGGTTCGGCGTACTGCAGAAAAGTCCCAAACTAGGAAAATGGAAACAGCTGTCCAGTACTCTCAGGTTTTTCCAATGGTTCTCTAACCAATGTCAGCTCATGATGAAATCATTTAACTAAATAACACTATTTCTGTGGACAATTTCCATTAAAACGATGCACACGATAAATGTCCTTCAATGTAAAAGACAGCAATACGAAACCAGTCTATCAAAAAGTTGGTTGGTCTGGTGAAACGACAACCACAGACAAGAATGTTAAAGCCAAGTAATGAGTATATTGGAGTAGATTTCCTTTAGGTTCTCGTAAACTTTGAAGATTTTACCGAGAGACCACCCAAGAGAAGATTGACAATGTCTACTGAATGTCTTCAGAATTGCGTGAACAATCATAGGATTTGATCGACTGAGCTTCATCGTAAAGAAAACTTTACAGAGAAGTTCAGCAGTTGAATTTGTCTACGCATGATTATTGAACCTACAACTTTACACAGTTATTAGTCATGCTTATGTACCTACAATTATCATAGGAAGACTTGTCTCCCATCTCATAAATTGGGATAATCAATGATTTATACCGATCTAACAGAGCTGCACTTAAATCTCTGACATTACGCAATACCTTAGTCAACCCAGATAACAGTTTCGCCCAACCGCCCTCCGTTCGGAGTCACTCCATCATGTCCTGTGATGCTTTGCATTGTCTGATCATAGGGTATGGAAGCATGAAGTAAAACACTTCCAACAGCAGTCATTTTATTAGAGTTTAACATCCTTTCGGTTATCACTGAACACAACACTTTTTGTTTTCAGTTTTAAAACATTAAATTGGCAAAAGTGAATCCCAAATCAGCTAATACTGATCACGTTGTAACAAAAAGGGGATTTTCGAGTAATTCTCCTGAAGAAGCTGTGCTCTACACAACGAAACGTTTAGGATTTTTTTTACAAAATTTTCTAATTTTTATAATGAAGCTACAGAACTATGCACTACTAATTGACTGACTAAAATGAGTAACACTCATACATCAACAAGTAGTGCTTGCCAGCCAGTTCCAGTTCAGCGTTTGGCACAGTCGACATCAAGCTCATCAGCTGTGCACCCGCGGTTTAACTCAGCTGAGGGAGAGAGAGAGAGACTGAGCCGAACAAGTTCAAACAACCCCGATTCGGGTGTCTGGATTGCAAACTGTGAATTTGATTTATGTCACAGAACACTCCATGACAACACATTTTTAATACAGCAATGTGAAATCGTCAATCAATCGATAAGGCAGAAAAAGAAAACGTAGTAAGCAAAATTTCAAGGTTAACTAACTAGCAACTAACCTTTCAGAATCACGACAAAGTAAGTGTCGACAGCTATGCTGATTGTTATTTACAGCGCATGGATCAGCTTCGAATGCCAATAGAGCACGAATCACGTGAATCGATGTGTTATACTAAATCAATGAAGGGTACAACAACAATATATACAAAAATATTCACTGTAGGTATTAACTTTCAAATGAAAAAAAATTGATAATTTAAAAAAAAAAAAATTCTACTTTATTAACATGTGCCGTTTGTTTTAAAAACAAATCTACTTAGTCTGCATTTATTTTTATCTCATTATCTTACTTTATTTAATCAATGAAACCATTGAAATCATTTGTCAACAGTCTGATCTTCTCCCACTACCAGAGCCGGAATTCAAACGCCTACTGCTAATGTGTACCATGGGTGTACAATTCCAGTTTGACAACACTCTTTACCGACAAATAGATGGTGTAGCTATGGGCAGTCCACTTAGCCCTGTTTTAGCAGATATCTTTATGTCAAACCTTGAGAAAACAAAGCTGAAGCATGCAATTGATCAAACAACTTCCTATTGGCGATATGTCGATGACACATTTGTAGTATGCAACAACGAAAGTCATGCCTCCTACCTACTCAGACTATTCAACAACGCACATACAAATATTGTATTTACTATGGAACATGAAAATGATGGACAGTTCCATTTCCTTGACGTCGCCATAAAACGCCTAGAAGATGGTAGCCTCCAGAGGTCAATCTACCGAAAGCCCACATGGAATGGACAATACTTACATTTTAATAGTTTTTGTCCAAATAGCTATAAACGAGCACTAGTCAAGACTCTGTACTATAGAGCGAGGAGAATATGCTCTGCAGAGAAACTAGAGGAAGAATTCACGAATCTCGAAAAGGTGCTGAAAAACAACGGCTATACTCAAAAATTCATTAATAAATATGGAAGATGTGAAGGCCCAAATACCAAACAAATCACAGTCGAAAAAAAGCCTGTCTTCATTCAACTAGACTTTAAAGGTGAAGACATTGCAGAAATGGTCAACAGAAGACTGAGGACGTCACTAGCCAGAGCCTATCCTGCAGCTAAGTTGGTTCCCGTCCACCGAACAACATGCTCTTTGGTGCAGTCAAAAGCCGATAGATACCCTTCTCATGTTAACTCCAACTGTGTATACAAATTTACGTGTATCTGCGGGAGCAGTTACATTGGGAGAACAGAAAGAAGGGCACACCTCCGATTTTCTGAACATGTGCCGAAAAGCCTACGTCTCAAGGGAACAAACTCTTATAGCAGCGCTATTACCAGACATCTCCTCGACACGGGTCATGAGGTGGAAATCGAGAAATCCTTCAAAATTATCAATAGACAAAGGAGCTCCAATCTCCTCAAGTTTGCCGAAGCAATTTCTATCAAACGCTTGAAACCAGATCTATGTGTTCAGAAAGAATCAGTTATTAGTCTTTCCTTGCCTTGGTAACTGGATGTCTTTTTTCTCCCATCTAATTGCGTAATCTTTGTCTTTAACCTCACCCTCCTTTTAAAATCTGTAATTTTGCTTGTCTCTTGTTTCTATGATTTGAGTTGAACTCAGTACATTGTTACCTAACTTATTAGTCACTATGCATCCAACGCACATCCCTTACCATTATATACATACATTTATTTATTAATTTTTTAACTTGAACTGCCTGTGTAAAAACTATATAAGCGCAATTTTTCTGAGCACTGTTTACTAGTTGTGAAACTTTCTGTCAACATGTAAAATTTGCAAGTACGTTAAAACGTTTCTGTACTTAAACCTGAAAATTTATTTAGGCTGTAAGCAGCTGACGAGAAGCCAACGAAATAAATGATGCTACCATGTTATTCTGCACAAATCAATGTTGTTCTCGCTTTATTCAAATTTATTTAAGATAATACACAGTGAAATAGTATTAGTTAGAAGGTGACGTTTTTTGGAGAACAATTTACCAGCCATAGAGCCTTTTAACATGCTCTGGCGCAGTTCTTCTACGTGTTATGTGTTACAACGACGGGACATCATTAGTATAAGGATAAAACTTGTGCACTGTAGTACAGTATAATTACATTATCCGTAAGATTTATTTTGATAATGTCTCACAGTGCTTGTTATACAATAAATTGTTTACTAATGACCAGGGTTCGAGCACAACTCGTTACTGTTCATAATCATATCACATGAAGGCACCACCCACACAATTTTCTAACTTTCTTTATGTAATTCCACTATTATTCATCGCTTGACTTGATTAGTGGTAGTGGTAGTATTTTCCATATTTCTGATATGAGCGATGAGTCATTCCTTTCTCTCTCTCTCTCCACTTACCTAGATTACTTCTCATAATTTCAACCATCTCACACCACCCTATTGTGTGGTTGTGTGTTAATTCATGGATGCAGTGCAATGTAATGCTGAGCTGTTTTCTAAATTACTTATCTTTTCGGGGTCAACCATTCTCACCTTAGCTAAATTCTTATGTTCCGACAATCTGACTACCACTGACCCACTATTACTTTGACTGACCTGTGTACTTGACCTTACTCACAGTCATTGTAGGGTAATTTGTGAATTATATTATTTTGTCTAAGTGACACTATCAGACTTTATCAAAATAAATTTCACCCATAATGGAATGTTGAGACATCACCATCACACATACTGAATACTGACTTGACGAGCATTGATTCCCACTGACTAATTCTCTCTTTCGACTCAGATGTATTACTTCAATCCTGTCTCACCTTATTTTGTGATTATATAATAATAATAATAATAATCATAATAGTAATCTGCTTTATTCCAAGACGAACAGTATATAGAATACAGAATGGAATTCTCAGGATTTGTCACAATATTGCATCTGATTTACTCAAAATATAATAAAATAAGCCAGAGGAATTCGTCCACATTTACGATATACAGTCGAAAATATTCGAAGTACAAATGAGAATAATAATAATAATAATAATAATAATGAGTGAGTTTGTTTCAAACAGTATTGTCGATTCAGTTCGGAAATGTTAGCATGTTATAGATTATTGAATCTAACGTTCTGGTGATTTAGCATCCTGCGAGTAAAGTCTGTCTGTCTGTTTTCGACATAGAACTTTGCACATTTGTGCGGAAGTTCAAGTCGCCATACTCCGTGTAGCACACGAAGCAAGAGAAGAAAGTACAAGAAAAGCATAATAGAAACAGTGAGCAGAGGTGTGAGACAAAGGAGTAATAAAGAAAAACAAAACAGTTACATTGGAGATCATAAGTCACAAGGAGTGGATGCATCTGCGCCACTGAGAACGATTTTGAGCCATGTCACCAATTGTTCCCAACCATTGATTTTTACCGTCCCGAGAACCCCAGCCTGGAAGTCTACACCTTCCTACGTGGCTTAGACCAACTGTTGTGGATTTCATTGACTGGTGCCAAGTTTTTGTTCGACCGCCGCTAGCTTTTTTCCAGCCTGACCCTATATCCGCTAACATAGCTCGTCGAGGGAGGCGATGACTTGGCATACGTAAAACATGTCCTAACCATCTCAGTCTTTGTAACTTCACGACTTCGTCGATTGATTTCCTCTGTTTACCTAGAACTCTACGCCTAACCTCCATGTTTCTCACCTTATTATGCCACTCTACACGGGAAATAGAGCGCAGGCACCTATGATCAAAGACAGCTAGTCTTTTCATGTCTTCCACTCTGAGTGGCCAGGTCTCACAACCATAAAGGAGGACGGAGCGGACTGATGAGCAGTACACCCGCCCTTTGGTCGATAGTCGGATATCACGTATACGCCAGAGTCGGCGTAAACTGGCAAATGCGAAACGAGCCCCCTGTATTCGTGCTGAGATTTCGATAGAGCGATAGAGAAAGACAGAGAGAGATGGGAGCCTAGAAGTGTATCTGGAGCAATACCATTCTTTTCATTGTCTGGTCACCTGGGCTTCAACATAGGAGGAGAGTATTGAAAGTCTAATTAACCACTGTTCTGTATCCATACTCCATTAGACATTAAAGTATTAGGAGCTGAATTTGTGTGAACTAAATATATATATATTTTTGATTTACAGCTTGATTCCACACTGTATTTTTGGTACAAGTATGGAATTTTCAGCATGGATATCGGTAGCCCGAATTTTGCAGGCCGACCATAGATATCAGGTGTGCGTCGGTGCGGGCTCGAACTCCGGACCATGTGCATGGTCGGTGAGAGTCCTAACCACTGTGCCACCGACGCACATGTTGCCAGGCTACTCAAGTGCATCAGAGTAAATGAATCCAAATACTAGTTCACTCATAACCCTGGGTCTGTTGAATAATTTAGCAAATTGTTGGTTACTTTCAGTCCTTGTTTACTGTTATACTTGTCTGAGAAGTTGCTTCAGATAGGACCTATCATAAGCCATTTGAACCTACATGAGCCAAGCCAGTCAACTGGCATCACCCAAGTCATCAGAAAATGTAAATTTGGCTAAATGTAGAATGATAAACCCAGTCTGACACAAAGTAATCGGGAAAAGAAAATGTCATCCGCTGTTATGCGCACACTTGTATCATGCTTCGTAGAACTCTGAAGACTGTCAGTCAGTAGGGCGAGTGGTGGTATCCCATTGGGCCATCATGTCGTTGACATTGTCACCGATAGCCACTTGATTTTATGCAACACATTTGCTACAATAATTTTGTCAGACTGTGAGCATCCACTGTAGCACTCGCAACTCCAACCTTGTGTCTCCTCAGGTAAAACAAGAAGTCTTTTCAGAAGACTTTGTGCTTGTACGTCTAAGTAGAAAAATTCCACAATATCTTCTCTGGCACGTAATTTATTTGATGAAAATAGTGTCAGGCATGAACTAACTACCTAAACTTCTTTGCACCGGCCGATAACTGCTACCTTGTCGTGGCAACTCTTTAGACTCATCACAGATTCGGGTGGGAGAAGGCAATTCATAAGTGAGACTATTTCTGAGAAAAATGGCTCCTTAATTAGCTCTCAGGATAGACGCCTTGAACGCTGGAAAGAACACTTTGAGGAACAATTTAACTTGCCTACAGCCACACTGAACCTCCCTGCCATCCATGGGCTTATGGGGAATTGTCATCGGAAT